CACCGATGGTTTCTGCCACATAGGCTTATGGCAAGTAATGGATAAAGTACTATCATTTAGGGTCATATATAGTGTCAGAAGGGAACCAAACAACTTTGAAAAAAGGCTATCAGAGTCGCTGGTAATGATTATCAAATTTGTATTTGACCTTGAAAAATTTTCATGAGTTAGGTCACGTTCACCACGATGAATGCCTATTCGATGTTTCTTCCGCGGTTACACTGTTTGGAAAACTTCATGGACTTGATAGGAAAATCAAACAGTGAAATCGTGCGTAAAAAATCTCCTACATAACTTTCCAGATTCCTTTTGAGGTATTTTTTAAACATAGATTAACAGTGGCATAAAATGCTGCTGGAATTCCCTACAGTACCTAAGTGGCAAAGAAAGGTGACTTGTGGTTCACTGAAAACCTGAACAGATCCAGCTCTACAAAATGAAAATAACTATAGGTGTTGAAGACCTTGAAGCGAAGGATTATCTCAGAATATTGTGCTTTATGATAGTGAGCTTTGATCCGAGATTGTTAATCTGTTTATTGGCTGACGTTTCGGCAAGTCGCCTTCTTCAGAGCCTGGAATGGACAGAACGACTTGCAAACTATTCGACCAAACGTCTCTGCAGCCATGCAAACAAAATTCTAAGGCTTGGTAGACTATAGTAGTTGATAGACTATCTCAGAATAGGTTATTTCAGAATCAGAGTTTTGTTAAAAAATTTCTGACCTCCACATAAATCCTTTCCTGTGCTCCGCATCATGATCGACCCAGCGCAAAGCTGCTTTGCATACCGATTCCTCGGTTTCAACGTACAAAGTATCTCTAGACAGTAATTCAACGAGATCATCAATGGGTAGGTCCAAGAAAGCTTCACTGTCGCAAACCAGTGAGAAGTACGTCTCTACAAATCGTTCAGTATCCCTCAACGCTGATCTGAAACGATAGGTTCTGAAAAAATTGAAGATTTGTTATAAAAGAAGACTTACTTGCAATTTAGAGCCGAACAAATTGCCCGAACAAACAGTACATTTGATGCATTGAGACGATTTTTCAAAAATTCTGCGCATCTTTCAGTCAGATCATTCAGCTACAATAATGATTGAAAATTACTGTGTTTGAGAAAAATGACAACTGTTTGTATCGTACTTTTATCTCCCATATTCAAAATTCAGCACTTTCTCATTTTATCAGCAGCTTTTATTATCAGTGTCGATCGAAGCCTCTCACATCTAACAATAAGAAGTCATACTGCTACGATTAAGATGCTTCTTTTGCTAGTTTTCCAGCGTTCAGACACACTTCTTATCTACTTTCGTAATTTTTTTCTGAATACCATCAAGCTCAGGCCAAATTCCATTTAGCTCCGAAATTCTTCGACTTCAGAAATCTTCATCTTTTTTGATACAA